AGCGCATACGTCGTCTACGGGCGGAACAGGAGGCGGTGGCCAGGGCGGAAGCGGCGCAGAGGGCTGCCGCGGAGCAAGAACGCCTGCGCCGTCTGAAAGCGGAACAGGAAGCGGCCGCCCGGGCAGCCGCTGAACGTGCCGCTGTGGAACAGGAGCGCATGCGCCGGCTGAAGGCGGAACAGGAGCACCTGCGACGGTTGCGTGAGGAGGCGGCTGCCGCTGAGCAGGACCGCATTCGCAAGCTGGCAGAGGACAACCAGCGGCTGCAACGATTGCGTGCGGAACAGGAAGCGGCCCAGTCGGCGGCGCAGGAGCAGGAACGCCTGCGACAGCTGCGCTCCCAACAGGAGGCGGCCGCAAGGTTGGCGGAAGCGGAACGAGAACGACTGACGCACTTGAGAGCAGAGCAGGAGATTGCCGCCATTCGGGCGCGATACCAGAGCGGAAGTCTGGGCGGCAACAACAACAACCAGTCTTCTGCCTCCTCAAGCAGCCTCTCCTACCAACCGGAGGCCAATCTGGCCCTTGACGACATCAGCCGTCATCAGCAGCCTCAGCACCAGCAGCACCAGCACCAGCCTCAGCACATCGACTCGGCTCGCCTCCGAGCAGAAAAAGAGGCACTGGCCGAACAGGAACGCCTCCTTCGCTTTCAGGCCTCTCAGCAGGCGCTCGCCCAGCAGCAGGCCACGGAACAGGCTCGACTGCGCCGGTTGCGAGAGGAGGAGATGATCAGAGCGGAGGAGGAGAGAGCCGCCAGAGAGGCCCAGGAACGGCAGATCATGCGGGCTCGTCACGATCAGAATCGAGCGATTCAGGCGGCCAGAGACGCCGCACTCTCTCGCAGTTCAGGGAGTTCAACTACAGCCTCCGATGACGGGAGTTCTCCCTACGAGTCAGAACGATCGCGCCCTCTGGTCGGGAGTTCTCCCTACGGTGCAGGGAGTTCTGGCACGCCCCCATCCTCCTCCTCCTCCTCCTCCTCGTCCTATCACCCAACTCATGGAAGTCCGCCTTATGCAGGGAGGCCTGGCACGCCCCCATCATCCGCTTATGACACCTCAATCGGCACCGGGAGTTCGGGGAGTGCTTCTTACGCAGCGAGTTCGGGGAGTTCTGGCACGCCCAGCAGCAACACCGGCGAGTACGCCAGCAACGCCTACAGTGATGACGTTGCCCGATACTCACGACGAGACAATGGCAGCAGCAGCAGTCTTTACAGCAGTCCCATCTACGACAACGCCGGCCCCAGCCCCACGGCCAGTCTCAACAACGTGCGCACCCCAGAGCCGACGTCGAGGGGCGGCGGGGGCGGTTTTCGGGGCTCGTATTCGGGAAGGGGCGGCTCCTCCTCTTCAGGGGAAAGTGTGCCCGTAAGCGAGGCGATCCCCTCCATCAGCGACGACTACGTCCGCCGAGTGGTGGTCAGCCGACAGACGTCGCCTCCACCGGCGCAGTCCTCGGTGGTTTACGCCGGTGGAAATCAGACATCGATGGGCAGCACTTCGATGATGAGCTCCAATCGAATTACAAGTCCTGCTGCTCAGAACAGCAGCCCAACAACGACTAGCAGCGGCCACAAGGCGGCGAAGATCAGTCTGCAGGAGCTGCCGCCCGATCACGACCAGGATGGCATTCCTGGCGTCGCCGGCAAGGACTACCCCACGCTGACGGAAATTCCCAAAACCTCTTTCAGCTGTGGCCGGCAACCGTTGAACGGCTACTACGCCGACACTGGTAAAAAAAAGTTAATTTTAACAAAATTATTTTTTAATTTAACTATTTTTGCCCTTCCAGAAACCGCCTGTCAGGTGGTGCACATGTGCCAGCAAGGAGGCGTCCAGGACTCCTTTCTCTGTCCAAATGGCACCATTTGGAATCAAGAAAAGTTTGCCTGTCAGTGGTGGTACGAGGTAAGAGAGTTAAACGTTGACTAAACAAAAATAGTCTACTTTAGTGGATTATCGCCATCTGATGCTCAGTTTTAATAAATTTTTCACTAAAATCGCTTTTTTATCTTTTTTACAGGTAAGCTGCGCTACTGCGCCCTCCTTCTACGCACTAAACAACAAGCTGTACAAGGGAAATGAGCTCGAGGACAGCAACAAGCAGGGCTCGTCCAGTACCTCGAGTCGACAGCCATAAATTCATCAAAACTATTACACACTTTCACACAAACAAACACATGAACACAGTTTGCTATCACCTTATTTTAATTTTTTGTTAATCAGTTCAGTCACTATCGCCAATGCCATGCACCACTTTCAGAAACACACTTATTACTGCAGCACTATTTTCCAGTTACCCTTTTCCCCATCACCACAATCACCCCTACAATCATCATCACTGCATCTCAACTCATCTCGTCTTTGTCTTTCACTGCCACGATATGCCTTTTGTTTTGGCTTGCTGAAGACGATTTCATCATCATTACTCATCACTCATTAATCCATTTCATTATACCATTTTCTCCCCTCAACACACAGTTTTTCACCACTTGACTCTTTTTTGCTGTTGCAAGTTTGAACACGTCCTTTTTGTTGTTTTTAGCTTTATAGTAGTTTAATACTCAGTTAGTTTAAAGTTTTGTTGTTTTTTGTAAGTTTTATTTGTTATGTTTTTCTACCTTCTGCTGCCAATCAAAACCACAATTTTAAATGTAAATGTATCTTTTACTTTATTATTTCCTATTTTTGATTAACTTTTTGAAACTATTTCTTTTACAATAAATACTCAATCAAACACAAAACACAAATCACACAACTAAATGCAACTATAATAAATGAGTATAAATGACACAAGAAAAGATTGTACAAATGCTTTTTGGTATAACAATTTTTGGTTTTGCAAAAAAAGTAATGGTTAGATTCAATGAAACATAAAAAACGAAAACGCAAACACTTAATGAGATGAAAAAGGCTGTTCAACATGCATCACAAACATTCATACTCGGTGACATTAGGTTTTTCTAGGGCGGGCACCACGTACCGACCTCCGCCGATGATCATGGGCAAACTGCCGTTGTTTCTGTTGTTGCTGCCGTTTCGAACCACAGCTCGGTAGCCTCGACCACAGCAGACAGTGTGGCAACTGTTAAAGGGAACGCCCTCCTCGTAATCGCCAATGCCTTCCTCTTTGCGTTTCTCCATTTGCTCAGCTGTGGGAAGGACACAAGGTACGACAGCAGATTTTCCCCCTTTTTCCTTCATTCTCTTGGCCGACTCGAGGCAAAAGTTGACCGACTGTTTTACGTAGACGAGATCACTGCGGCCAACAGTGCCACTCTTTGGATTAGCATTTCGGCGGTGGTGCGGCTCATTGAGATCAAGCTGGGCGACGCGCTCAAACTTCTGTATCCAGCCTTCACTGCTTCTGCTACTGGACCCGTCATCCACCTCGGCATCGTACTCCTCTGACTTGTTCCACAATGTTGCTTTTTTCCCTTTTCGGTAGCCCTTTTTGTGAGAATGGCGCGCTCCATAGGGTGAGGACGATTTGGCCGTCCGCTGGATGAACTGCTTCTTCAGATTGCTTCGACTGCTGTCCAGCAGCCAGCCCAGGCTGACCTCCTTGGCGGCCAGGTAGCGGCGGAAGAGGTCGTCGGCGATGGCGGCAAACTCGCCCCCTCCTCCGTGCCCTCTGTACGACCGCCAGCAGGTCTTCGTCGTACAGGAGCCGCTGATGCCGTGGCACTGACAACGGACCCAGCCCTGGGCGTCTTTAATAAGCTGAAAAAGGAAAGTAGAAAAATGTTACGAATTTCAAAACTTTTAATCATTTTGCTGCTCACCTTTCTCCCCACTAGATTGTTGTGCAGATTGACCAGCGAGTAGGGCGTAATGTGACTGCGCTCCTGTGAGTCGAGAAAACGACGAGCCATGGTGGCCCCGTAGTCGACGTTTCGCAGGCAGCCTTGCCACTGGTAGGTGGCGCGAATGTCTGCCGCAGTTTGTACAGCAAAGTTTTCAACATTATTAGCGTCTTCCAAACTACCGTCCACGCTTTCTTCATTCTCTTCCAGCAAAGCACTCTCTTTTAAGCGGTGGCCATCAAAGCAGGTGCAGTAGGGAAAGTCACTGCGCGTGCAGGCCTCGCTGATGGCGTAGGTGACGCCGGCGGAGACGAGGGCGTGCGCCAGCGAGAGCTCTTTCGTGCCTAAAAATAAAAACAAAAAATTAAAAAATTTTAAAGAAAATGATAAACCAATGCCTACCAGTGATCTCCGGGTGGTTCACCTCCACAAAGAGGCGGTTAGTGGAGTTGGCGAGGAAGGCGTTGCAGCTCCAGGCGTGGTGCACCGTCTGGTGGGCGGCGAAGAAGCGTTCACACTGACTGAGGGCCAGCTTGACGCCGCTTCGAATCACGGGCACCAGCTCGGGGTAGCGTTCGCAGAGGCGCATCTGCTGGGCGTTCAGGCGAGGAATGCGCCGGCAGATGAAGGAGCTGCCGGAAGCTGTCGGTATTCTAACAAAGTCAAAAAACAATTAAATATAAACGTTTGATGCCCAAAAAGTAAAGTAAATCAAGTAGATGTATATGTACGGTTTAACAAAATTAAAAAAAAAGAACGGAGATAATGATGATTAATGACTAGCTGTAGTAGTAGACAAACTTTGCTCAGTTATTCAAACTAGCTTTTTGTGGTTTTTGCAAAATTGTTCTGTTTTGTCCAGCAACTTTAATTGCCGATGCAATGGCAATAACTAAATAATAACTGTAACTACTGTTTTTCATTGCACAGCAATTGTACATTGAATTGCTACTTAGCCCTTTTTAGGCCTTGATCAATGAAATTAAATGAGCAAAAATGAAAATTTGTATTGCCTACCAAACCCTGTCATCATCTTAACTCTGCCGCCAGCTGTTTTGGACGTTGCTATGACGTTTGTTTAGGAGTGCAAGGGCAAGATCACTAGTTTTTTGACAGCAACAACACTTTTGTTGTTAGTGTACAGTAAAACTAGTTGTACAGTTAGTAAATGTGCTCGGTTGTGTGATTGCCGAGTACATAAACAAGTGCCGGCAAAATTCAATAAGAAGCGGCTCAACTTGCACTAAAGTTACAAGTGTGTTTGAACATTATTCAATTGCACCGCTACTTTTTTGTACTTGAGTAACTAAAACAACCTAGTACAACTGCATGTTGCAACTTAGTGCAATTTTAGGGTTTCTTACTGTGTTTAAAAAATCCACAATGTCTACAACAAACACAGTCAAAAAAAGAAGAGAATGCAGCAAAACAAAAAGTGCAATTTTGTCCAAAAGTGTGTTTGTTGATGAATAAAAAGTAAATAAAACTTGCACTTACATTATTGTTGCAAATAGAAGAAAAAACAAAGAAGGAGCAAAAAAGCTAAAGAAGTTTCTTCGAGAAAAAAATGAACATTTGATAATGGTTTTGGTGGTAATTTTTGATGTTTCAAAAATGGACTGTTGCAGACAGAATCGCTGAACAGAATGCAAAACGCCAGGCATAGCTTGCCAGAGAATGATGTACAGAGGTTGCAAAGAAGAACTTGCAAACAGTAAAATGAAAATGATGAAAAGTAAAAAGAAAAGTGTTGTAAATGAAGATCACTTGAAACGGCCGATGGTTTTTTGCTAGTAGACGGTAGTAATACTAAAATTGAAATTTGAGATCGAACACAAGTGAAAATCAAATGTTGTTGTTTCGTTGACAACAATAAAAATGAAAATGTTTGGTGAAGTGAAGGGTTAGATGATGAGATGGGTAATAAAGGCGACAAAGAATGAAAACTTTTAATTAAAAATCGAAAGTGAAGGTAAAGATCGTCGGTCGTCCAGCTTCCAGTGTCAGTGTCAGTGAGCACGATCATCATCATTTGAAGGTGAGCTGGTGCAGAATGGGTGGTCGAAATAGAGTTCAGTGAATTAAAGAAGAAGCGGGCCATCTTTGCTGACTATCTGGGTAACAAGAAACGAAGAAGGAGGAGGAGGGGGACTGGGGTGACGGTGAAGTTTAAGGCGGTGGTGGTGGTAGTGGTGGTGAAAGTAATGTCCGACATTGGTACTGAGCGCAGTTGACAAAGCGTTAAGGTGATGACGGAGAGAACTACTTAAAGGTAATGAAGAAAAAGAAAAGGTGGTTGACTGCCAACGACAACTGACGCTCCTGCTGTCCATTCATGAACAGGATTCAGCTTTTGCACTGAAATTTGAGGTTTGATGACTTTAAAAAGTTGAACGTGATTAACTAATAGCTAAACGAGTTAATTAACCAAGTTGGTGATAGTGAAATTGTCAAGCAAAAAAGGAAGGAATTCAGCCCACCAAAACAGCAAAGGAATGATGACCGCCAATCACTACCACCAAATTAACTGAACTTGACTTGATGATCAGACGTGCCCCTCTTTTTTTATTAGTATTTTCTTAATCCTTTGGTTCGACGTCGTTGTCGTCGTAAAAAGTGCGACGACTTAATTAATTAAGATCTGATGTCTGATGCTCGTTTTATGCTTTTTCGCAAACACCCGGCAGAAAAAAACAACAAAAGACCTTGATAATGGTTATGGTAATGGGTGTCAGGCCTGATGCTTGATGCTGACCAAGTTTTTATTGGTTGTTTTTGCAGTGGTGATGAAAACTATGATAATGGGAAATAGTTGTTTTCGATCACTTGTGGCTACCGGTGATAACTAGATCTGCATTTGGTTGTGCACTGATTCAAACCAAACAAAGAACGTTAATCTGAAAATAAAACGAAAAATTCGTTAAAAATCGTAAATTTTTTAAGTGCATGTTTTTTGTTCACTTTTTTGATTTATTTGTTCAAAAATTTTTTCTAAAAATTGAAAAAACAAAAATTTCTTTGACATCAGTAAACTTAATTTAAATACGCATACAAATTAAAAACTTATTGACAATAATATAAATTAATTCATATTGCAAACTTTTATATAAATTTTTTGTGTTGTTTTCTTTTCAATGATTTATTAACAAAATAAAAATTAGCAAGTTTAGCTATGGTTGTAATAGTTCAACTAAACTCTCCTTGATTGCATTTACTAATTGATCGAATGAAGTGTTCGAACGTGTTAAGATTGGTAAACACAACTCAAAGTGGTACACTGTTGTTTTCGGGTTGGTCGTTAACGACACCAGTGTCCAGTACATGTTAACTTGTTTTGATAAGTGGGTGTCAAGTGATTGCTCTAAAGTAGTAAATGAAAAAATGCTAAAACACTACAAAATACAAAAATCTATGTAAGAAAAAGCAATTAACCTTTACAGTTATGTTAATGTAAAAAATAAAAATAGTATTCAAAATGACAAATTTGAAAACTGGCAAGAATTTATACAACTGGTGTTTCAAAGGTTCAAAGTGATATAATTAGTTGGGTTGCAAATCATTATTGTTCTATTTTTTGAGTCACTTACAAAATTGTCATTTTTACTTAGTTTACTATTTTCAGTATATGCCAGTCGGTCAATTGCAATTATTAGGTTGCTGAATTTGTTTGTGAATATTTTAAATTAAAGATCAATAATTGTTACTATTTCCGGTCTACGTTTTGTCGCACATTATTACACAAGTTTATCAACTCGCACAGCACAAATTAATAAAAACCATTATTAATTTTAAAAAATTGAAATAACAAAATTCACAAAATTAAAGTTATGTAAAATGTCAATTTTAAAAAAATAATTAAAATTTTTTTGCGTAAAAAATTGCTCAAAAATTAATTTAAAATTTAGTTTAAGCAGTTTTTTGTGTGGTTTTAAAGTTTTATTTGCAACCACTGAACAGTTTGTTTTTCATTGAGAGACCACACAATTTGTTAAAAAGCAAAATGTAGTAGACTGCCCAGAAGCTAGTCAATGTGTGTGTGTTCAATTTTTAATCATTAATCTTCGATTAGTTGCCCAACTTGAAAGGTAAACGAAAGAGAGAGAGAGAGAGAGAGAGAGAGAGAGAGAGAGAGAGAAAGAGCTAGTTGAAACAAGCAAAGGAACGATAAATTGCTGTAATTAGCATCAGCTGGCACTTCATTCATCACTTTATCACTTAAATTCTCACTGAACAAAAAGTTAAAAACATGGGTTTGAACATTTGAAATGGCATCTGACACAAGCAACACTTACATTGAAAAAAATGAATAAAAAATAAAGAGAGAAAAAGAAAAAAGAAAATGCAACAACAACAGAAAATTTCATAGTATTCTGTCAATAAGTAGTAAAACGTCTTACCTTTCAAGTAGTAATCGGTAGTAATATTTAGTTGTCAAAATGAACACTGAATCAGGACTGAATTTGTGTGTGTTTTGATTTGCTGACACAATTCACCAGACGATCTTTTGACACACTACTTCTGAAAGGACGACTGCTGTTGCTTCTGCCGCATTTTAGGTGTCATTTCTTGATGGTCAATGATTGATGGCGCTGATGATGCTGATGCTGACGGCGGCTGGTAATGCTTAATTGACTGATCAATGGTTCAAATCCAAATGAATAATTTTATTTTTCATTTTAACACTATTTGTAGACTAGTAAATGTTTTTTCTTTATCAAATAAACTTTTCATTTTTCAACAAAAAATTAAATATTCAATAGACAGATATTCTGGTTCTTTTAAAGTTGGCTAGTCAGTTGTCTGACGATAGTGTCATCAGCTGAGTGAACCAGCTGCCTGTTGACAGTGCAGTCACCGGTAGATGAAAGCAGTGATGAGCACACCACCGGAGAAGAATATCATGTCAGCACTGTGAGCACATGAGGCAGCAGTAGCACTCACAGTTCACTGTCACTTTCACTTTCACTCTTTTTCCCCTTTTCATTCTCTCCAACGTGACTTACTGCTCGCATTGTAGCTGTCTGTCTGCGTTGATGCTACCGGCGCCAGTGTTGCTGCTTCTGCTGCTGCTGCTACAACACCGCAAACACGAACACTCAAGTGACATTAATGATCCTTTGAACTGAAACAAATCAGTCAGCTTACCAGACAGTGCAGTGCCGTCTCCTGCTACTGTTGTCAGTATTGCTGACGGATGGATTGTGTTACTCGTCCTACGGATGTTTAAAAAACATTGTTGATAATGAAAAAGCATCATTTGTTCAGTTAGACAATACTTGACCTTTTACCTTTTGACAGGTCACATGTGTTGAGCAGTGTCAAAGCAGTTTATGTTTCAATTTGT